TATTATATACTCTTCTTCTAGTAGGTTTATCTATATTACTACTATATAGTAGAGATAAATATATAGTATAAATCCCCCTAGCAACTATATATCTTTATATCTCTACTTTATATTTTTTGTATATAGTATATACTTAATATACCTCTACTTTATAAATAGTTTAGCAACTTTATACTACTTATTCTTATTATTTTCCTTTTAATAAGTATTACTAATACTTTTTTTATACTACTAAAAATTCTTATTTCTAAAGATTACTACTACTATACCTACCTTCTTTTTCTATATTACTTCTATATTGCCTCTACTATTTTAAGTATAATATAGTATATACTATATACTTAATTTAGTTTTAAAGAGTTTGCTGCTAGCATGCTTTCTTCTCTACCTTTACTGCTCTTGCTACTATACTATAATGCTTGCTATATAGATAAGTATACTATAGAAGGCAACTTTAATAATAATAACCTCTTTAATAGAGAGAAAGTTCTAGAAATATATATACTATATTAATATAAGCTTATTAATACTAGCTCTACTAGTTATATCTCTAGCTTTACTATAGCTTATAAGTAGTACTATAAAACTTATAAGAAGTATATTTAGAAGGTATATCTCTATACTTTAAACTTTAAGCTATATTACTAATAAAAGAAAGTATAGTAAATTATAAATACTAGTAGGTATATTATATTTACTATATACAAAAAGTTAAGTAAGAGCTTTAGTATATATACTAAATTCTTTATATAGTTTAATTTTATAACTAAAAAGTTTAATATATTATTAGAGTAGGCCTATATTACTCCTAGTTCTATCTACTCTCTATATATACTAGCTAATTTATTCTCTAGTAATATAGCTGCTAGCGCTAATTTGCAGGCGCTAGCACTTACTAGCGCATTAATGCCCTTCTACTATAGGTATATACTGCCTTCTAACTAGTAGATACTAGTTAGTAAGTTTTTTCTAGAGCTAAGCTACTATAGCTTAAAATATTAAGCAAATACTATATAAGTAGCAGGCAGAGTAGGCAGAGTTATACTATAAGTATGCTAACTAGCAGAAGCTAACTTACACTCTAGTTAATATACTTTATAAAGAGGCAAATTTCTATAGCTAATATATTTACTTTTATATCTCTAAGATTTTAACTTATTTTTATAGTAGAGAAGAAAGTAGTTATAAAGGTAATAGTATTTAAAATACTATTTTCTCTCTACTTTCTTCTCCTCTTAATAATTAAGTTATTAATTTAACTAGCAATAAGTTATAATAAAAGTTACTTAGCAAGCTAGAGTGCTTATTTTAGTAAGCACTATATTAAGTATAAGTTAAGTATAAGTTAAGTATATATTAAGCTTTATAGTTTTATTATCTCTCTCTCTTTTTTTTTTTTTTTAATAATTAATTTTTTTTTTACTAGCTAGCCTTAGTATTAATATAATTATAGTCTAGTTTTATATATATATATATTTTTTTAATTAATTAGCTTTATTTTTTTAATTAATTAGCTTTATACTTTATACTATTATTTAGAAATTAATTACTTATAAATTAAGCTTATTATACTTTTATATATCTCTCTACTTAGCTTTAAATTAGTTAAGTACTATAATATCTTTAAAAACTCTTAAGTAGTTTCTATATTAATTAAATATACTTTTTCTACTTGAAATATATATATTTTGCTTTTTACTTCTTTTAAGTATATTCTTTACTACTAGAATTTCCTCTACTTTATATTTATAGCTTTCTTTACTTTAAAGAGTTTTATCTACTTTAATTAATACTAGCAGTAAGTAGAAGTTTTAAAGCACTTAGCTAGATAGTAAGTTAAATACTACTTACTTAATAAAGTCTATATAAAATACTAAGTATATACTATATAAAATATTTAATTTTACTATTAATAAAAATAGTACTTTAATTACTATATACTTTACTATAACTTAATTAAGTTTTCTACTAAAGTAATTTATCTTAATATTATAGAGGTTTAACTATATTAAATTCTCTACTTAGAACCTTTTAGCTAGGTATTACTATTTATTAGCAGCTTTTTATTACTACTACTAATTATAAGTAATTATAGCTTATATTAAGTTAGTACTCTTCTTTAAGTGCTAGAGAAATACTACT